GAGGTCTATACGGATGCCGATTGGGCTAGAAGTGTTGATGACAGAAGGTCTACCTCTGGATATTGTGCTCTTGTGGGAGGTAACTTGGTCTCTTGGAGGAGTAAGAAACAGAGTGTTGTCTCCCGATCTAGTGCCGAAGCTGAATACAGGTCAATGGCTAACGAAGTGACTGAAATTCTTTGGCTGAGATCACTACTTGAGGAGTTGGGTATTGAGTATGAGAAGCCCCTGATGTTGCATTGTGATAATCAAGCGGCTATTAATATAGCACACAACCCGGTACAGCATGACAGAACTAAACATATTGAAGTTGATCGACATTTTGTACGAGAGAGGGTCTCATCACAAGAAGTGTCTCCCGTACATCACCTCCAACATGCAGCTGGCAGATATCCTCACCAAAGTTGTACCACGGAATAAGCTAGAGGCGGATCTATCCAAGTTGGGAATGATAAACATTTATTCCCAACTTGAGGGGGAGTGTAGAGAACACTGATGTGGGCCCCACAGCTACGGTCCCACTGTGTTCGTAGGGTAGAAGGTGTTCTAGTCTTCCTAGGGTCAGCTGTTGGTCATTTAGTTGTTTCAGTCTTATTTTGCTCTATTTGTTATGTATAAAGACTAAGGGCAGATCTGTCCTTTCATGTAATGAGCATAACCTATAAATATTAAATAAAGTGGCGGTGGCAGAACATTAAGCTTCTGTTCCTCCTTTCAACTCTTGTGTTCTACTGCTCTTCCTCCCTTTTTTCTCCTCTCTTCTCTATACCTTTTTTCTTATTTTCGAACCTGAAATCCATTAGGGTTCAAGACTGTACTGTTCAAGAACAATAATCACATGAAGGTGGAGGTCTATACAGATGTTGATTGGGCTGGGAGTGCTAATGACAGGAGGTCTACCTCTGGATATTGTGCCCTTTGTTGGAAAACGTGGGGTTACTGGTGTAGATGCATATTTGGTAGTTAACATCTATATTTGGTAGTTGTGTAAAAATAGGAATGTGTGAATATATATTCCCAGGATTGTGGAAGAGTATAATCCCTTAAATATGGGGATTAAAATAGTTAGTCCCTTAATTATAGGGATTGATTTAGGAAGATGTTTTCTATTTATTGCAGCAACTTACTGTATAAATATTCTGGTTGGCAATGGAATGATAAGATCAGTATTTTTTACCATTTCAAAACATGGTATCAGAGCTCTAGGTTTGCCAACCTTGAGATTTTTTTTTTCTCCGGCCTTCATTGCCAAATCTTTCCCCTGCTTTTCTGGCCTTTAGTGCTGATCTGTAATCAGCAGTGTTTCTTTTCCTCGTTTATTCTTCTTTCCCGCTAGCCTTATTCTTTCTCCATTGACAATGTCCGACGTGACTGCAACAAGTGCTCCCGTCCAAACCGATGAAGGAGCAACGAATTCTCATCCTCATACCGGTGATTTGCAGAATATTCAAGCGACATATAGACTGAATGGCCAGAACTATTTGAAGTGGTCACAACTAGTGCAT